TCTTGGTCCATTTAAAACATTAAGGTTGGAACCTGAAGACTTAGGTTCTAGGTGTGGTTTAGGCAAAATACTTCTTTTTCTTTCCTTTGAAAATTTATTTTCAATTTTCTCTTCTGAAAAATGAAGAGCTTGGGATGAATAACCATAAAGTTCCAGAACAATCCCCGCTTCTCCCCATGGGTTTCTTTCTTTCTTTTTTATTGATACAAAATAGGTGTGTCCATCTTCTCAATACATGTGATAATTTGATACAGTCATCTAATGGGTAAAGATCAAATCAGGGTAACTGGGATATCCGTTACTTTAAATATTTATCGTTTCTTTCTGCTAGGAACACTTCAATTATTCTCTTCTAGCTATTTTGAAGTGTACAGTAGATTAATGTTAACTACAATCATTCCAGAGATATACCAAACATTAGGTCTTATTTCTTTTAACTGTATATTTGCACCTATTAATCAACCTCTCTCTTCATTGCCCCCCCCCCCCGCCGTGGTAGCCACAAATCTCTATTATTTTCACAAGATCTGCTTCTTTAGTTCCCACATATGAGTGAGAACACACAATATTTGTCTTTCTGTGCTTAGGTTATTCCACATAACACAATGACCTCCAGTTTCATTTTTTGCTACAGAAAATATCAGGATTTCACTCTTTTTAAGGCAGAATAATATTACACTGTGTATATATGCAACATTTTCTTTATCCATTCATCTGCTTATGGGTACTTACTTGAGCTTATATTTTGCCTGTTGTGAATAGTGTTGTAGTAAACATGTGAGTGTAAATATCTTTGGAATACTGATTTCCTTTCTTTTGGAGATATACTCAGTAGTGGAATTGCTGGCTTATATAGTAGTTCAATTTTTTGGTTTTTAGGGGTCTCCACACTATTCTCCACACTGGTAGTACCAATTTACATTCCCACCAACAGTACACGGGGTTCCCCTTTCTCCACATACCCACAGCATCCATTATTCCTAGTCTTTTTGACAAAGTCATTCTAACTGGGTGACATGATATTTCACTGCGATTTTGAGTAGTCACTTCTCTGATGATTAGTAATACTGAGCATTTCTTCATATACTTTTATCCATTTGCATGTCTTCTTTTGAGAAATGTCTATTCAGATCTTTTCCCATTTTTAATCAAATTATTTGGGGTTTTTTGGCTATTGAATTGTGTGGGGTCCTCAGATATTCTGGTTATTAATCCCTCATCAGATGAACAGTTTGCAAACATTTTCTTCCATTCTGTGGGCTGACTGTTTTTTTTTTTAGCTGTGCAGAAGCTTGATAGCTCGATGTAATCCCATTTGTCTGTTTTTGCTTCAGTTGCCTGTGCTTTTGAGATTTTACCAAAAAAAAAATCATTGCCCAGATCAATGTCCTGAAGCATTTCCCCAATGTTTTCTTCTAGTAGTTGAATAGTTTCAGGTCTTAGATTTAAGTCTTTACTCCATTTTTAGTTGCTTTTTATTGTGGTGATAGATAGGGGTCTAGTTTCATTCCTGTGCATATGGTCATCCAGTTTTCCCAGCACCATGTGTTGAAGGAACTATCTTTTCCCCACAGTATGTCCTCGGTGCCTTTGTTGAAAATGAGTTGGCTGTAAATGTGTGAATTTATATGTGGGTTTGCTATTCTGTTCCATTAGTCTATGCGTCTGTTTTCTCCCAGTAGTACCTTGCCGATTGGTTACCGTAGCTTTGTAGTCTATTTTGAAGTCTCGGATAGTGATGTGCCTCCAGCTTTGTTCTTTTTGTTCAGGATTGTTTTGGTTAATTGGAATCTGTTGTGGTTCCATAGAAATTTTAGGACTGTTTTTTTCTATGTCTAGGAAGAATAACATTCTGACAGAGATTGCAGTGAAACTGTGAATTGTTTTGTGTAGTACTGTCATTTCAATAATACGAATTCTAATCCATGAGCATGGAATATCTTTCCTTTGTGTCCACGTCAATTTCTTTCATCAGTGTTTTCTAGTTTTCCTTGGTTAGACTGATTTCTAGGTATTTTATATTTGCAATATAACCGATTTATCTTGTAAATAGGATTACTTTCTTGATTTCTTTTTCAGATTGTTGGCTGTTGGAGTATAAAAATGCTACTGCTTTTTGTATAATCTGTCTGAATCCTGTACCTTCACTGGATTTGTTTATCTGTTGTAATAGTTTTTTTTTTTTTTTTTTTTTTGGTGTAGCTTTAGGTTTTTCTAAACATAAGATCATGCCATCTGCAAACAAGGTTAATTGCCTTCTTCCTTTTCCATGGTTTTCTTTTCCATCACCTCTCCCGTTGAAACTGATCTCTTTTCCAGTACTTCATTCTTCTTCCACCTACTCCTTGTCCTCTTCTAGATAATGTGTAATTCTCAATACAGGTATAGTTTCTTACTTTATATTAAACATATTGCCTCCTAATGACTATCTTCTGTTTAATCATGGACATTAAAAATCTCTGGAGTAAGAGATTCATTCCAATACCTTAACATTTTTCTATGGTTTTCTAGCAATACAGTTTCTGCTGCTAGTTTCCCTCCACCAAATCCTAGCTCAGATCATTTTCCTCTGTCTTGGGTCCCCTAGAGCAGGCATCCTCAAACTATGGCCCGCGGGCCCCATGCGGCCCGCCTAGGACATTTATCCGGCTACCATGTGTTTTTGTCGCTGCTGCCTGTCCTGCTTAGCAGCCGACTCGTCCCGGGGCCTGCAGTCCAGCCCCCTAACGGTCTGAGGGACAGTGAACTGGACCCCTGCCCTAGAGTGAAGAATTTTCCAGAGAATACCTAAAGCCTTTTCTTTTTCTACTCATTGCTCTAAATCATATTCAAATATTTTTACTTTTTTCCTTTTGGACAATGTATGTTGTTCCTTCACAGTGATTCAGCAGAAGTAAATTCTTGAGGTCCCTGGTCTCTTAGGCCAGTGGTTCTTAGACTTTGAGCTTATGTTCCACTAAAATTTCTCCTGCCCACCCCCTACCAAATGTGAAGACCAATCTGAATTGCTGAAGAGTTTTGTTTTGTTTTGCCAAGTAGTAATAGTTAAATAGCACTACCATCACTATCATTTCAGAGGGAAATTTTAACATTAAAAAGTAAGAGAGACACAGCCAAATAAAACACAGTCCTTAAATGGAATAAATTAGGGACCAACTTTATAGCTTTATTCTCAACTCTCTACAGTGTCATTTTTCTCATGTATCTAAAGAACAGGAACACATGGTTGAGCATGGACAGGACACATATGGTTGAGCACATTAGTATTTAAGAGGCAACATGGGACCAGGAATGGTGGCTCATGCCTATAATCCCAGCACTTTGGGAGGCCAATGCAGAAAGATTGTTTGAGCCCAGTAGTTTGAAACCAGTGTGGGCAATAGTGACACCCTCATCTCTACCAAAAAAAATTTTTTTAAATTATTTTGATGTGGTGATGTGATCCTGTAGTTCCAGCTACTCAGGAGGCTAAAGCAGGAGGATCTCTTAAGCCCTGGAGTTTGAGGTTGCAGTGAGCAATGATGACACCACGATATCCCAACCCAGGCAACAGAGCGAGACTCTGTCTCAGAAAAAAGGCAACATAGTACAAGTTACCACACATACCTTCTTTCAACTCATTTTAAGGAGGAGTTCTAATTTGCCTCCCCTCACTGTGGGGTGGTCTTTGCAGCAGCGCTCGGCTTTCTATTTGGATTTCCACTTGTGCAACCTTCTCAGAGTGGCTCCTGCTGATATTCTTCACATTCCCAGCTCAACGACACCCACTTTAACCATCTCGGCAGTGCACATGACACAGCACAGCAAAATGAACCTGAATATTCTCTGATCACAAAAGACCTGCTACCAGGTCTTTCCTCTGTGGCAAGTTTCTGCCCTGCATACATTTCTCCACTTTCTTACTCTGCCTCCTTTCAAGCTCTAGTGGACCCTTATTCTAGGTCCACTTCTGCTCTTTACTCCACGTGTTTGCACCCTATGCCTCCTAAGTTTTTCTTTCTATTGATCTGCCATTTTTCTTAAAATCGACTCTCTAATATTTTCCTTGTGCCTGTTTCTATAATAATTAATAATCATAGGATTATATGGACTAGGGTGAAAAAAGCCTTTCTAAAATTTCTTTCTCCTTCAGTGTTATTTAATTATGTTAGAGTAGTCCCACTGAATTTAGATGATCCCCATTTGCGATCACTAAAATTAACTACTTCACGTGTTATAATTCAGCACACCTGCAGCTATCACAGGGCCATAGTAATAGATGCAAGGGTCTTCAAACTTTTTAAACAGGGGCCAGTTCACTGTCCCTCAGACCACTGGAGGGTCAGACTGCAGGCCCCAGGACGAGTCAGCTGCTAAGCAGGACAGGCAGCAGCGGTGGCAAAAACACCCGGCAGGCGGGAAAACTGTCCTAGGTGGGCTGCATGTGGCCCATGGGCCATAGTTTGAGGACCCCTGGTAGAGCCATACAGATGATGTCCATAATATTTTTTGCCTGTTTGGATTTTTTTAAGGAAGTGATAAGGAAATAATGTAAATTTTGAAAGAAAAGATAAAGGGGAAAAAAGTTGGAATTGTCACAACCATGTCAATACATTTAAAGAAACTAAGCTATATTTCTACTGATCTTGTCCCATAATCCATTTTGATGAATGTGATGAAAAATACTTTTTAGATGAACTGAGTTACGTTTATTTTATAGTATCTTAGACGTGGAAATTTAACATAGAATTGATTCTTCCTTCATTCCTTTATTTTCCATTTTATTTCCACTTGTTTTCCCCCTTCAACACAAGCAATATATCATTGCTTAAAATCGTTTTTTCCAAATATTTAACTGAGTGGTGAAAGGGCTCTATAAGTCCCCCAACTCAATATACATACATGTGCAAGGCAATCACCGTAAGCTGCTGGTGTATATTATTCCAATTTTTTTCCTTGAACACATACTAACATATATATTAGCAATCAGCATGTTTTTAAACAAAGATTCCACCACTTACCAAAATAAGCCCTGATATTAGTGAGGAAGTGCCTGTCAGGGCCACGTAGAACTTCGGTGTCAATGTGTTCAAAAACATGCTCACTGGAAAAAAGAGAGAGAGAGAAGGGGAGAAGAAGAATGCATGCATGAGTATGTCACTACAACCAGCTCTTCCATTTTTCGTTCTGGCGAAATCATTTGCTTTTTAATGATGAGAATTCCTAGAGCCATAGCAAGGTCTCACTAAAATGGCTGTTACATAAGCTCGGAATACTAGTTACCAAGTTATACAACATAAAAGAAAAAAAAAGAGTAGCATTTCAGTTTCTACCTCCCCAAACTATTGTTGTGAATGCTTTCCAAGGGTGCATAGCCACTGAAGAGTTTGCTCAATGCTGGCTACGAAACCAACAGTCAAAAAGAGAAGGTCCCTGACATGTTTTGTGAACTACACAGTAGAGTCCTTGAGGAACCCCAAAGCAGGATTTCTACCTTGGAACAAATGGAAAGTAGCTACACTTAATATGTTAAGCAGTTATCAGGGATTGTAATACTATAGTTACTCCTAAGGAGAAAGGACAAATGGAAAAAAGTTAGCACTTATAAGTAAAAGTTTTGTCAACTTCCTTAAAAGGCTGCTTGATTGTTCACCAAAATAACTGGAGTCAATTAAAAAAAAAAAAAAAAAAAGATGTAAAATAAACCATTAAACTTGGATGTTCACTGCCAGGCACCTCCTGACCAATTACCACTTTGTTCATATCAACTATACAGTTAATCTGATTGCTCATTAATTAAGGTTCTTTTCACATACATTATAAAGATATTTTGTCATTACCATTTGTATCTAGATATTGCACAAAACTTTTGTTACCAAAATAACAGAGTTAATGGAGTTTTTGCAAGGATATTCACACTTCTTTACAGAATTTGTCTGTGGAAGGGAATCATGTCCAGTCTATCTCATTATGGGGAAGAGCTTTGGCATCTTTCTTGAGCTCAGCCCAGAAAGCAAAGTACTAAACTGAAATGAATGGAGATCCCACATTCACTCATTTAACAAATACTTTCCTCTCTTTATGAAGGACATTCTGGGTTCCCTCCAGAAGGCTACATTCTAGCTAAGAGACACACAAGCCAACAAGCAACTATTACAAGTGGTAAGTGTGCAGATAGGTCCTAAGCCTAGGATGTCATGAAACCACAGAGGAGGGGTGCAGTCCCGGCTGGGCAGCAGGGAAGATGCCCAGGATCAGGGCACACCTAAACTGAGTCCTGAAGAATAAGCAGGAGTTAACCAGACTACAGGGGAGAGAAGATGGGATGGAGGACAATTTGAGCAGAGGAAAGGATGGGACTCAAGGTGCTGAAGAGAGAAGATGGTCTTCCCAAGCAGACACAATGCTAATGAGGGAAGGAGATTGTGCAATAGCCACATCACAGAGACTCTGATGCAGATGGGTGTGCAGATTCCATTCGCACTTGCCTCCCACTGCACCCACTGCACCACTGCAGCCTGCCTCCCACTGCACCCCTGCAGCCTGCCTCCCACTGCACCCACTGCACCCCTGCAGCCTGCCTCCCGCTGCACCCCTGCAGCCTGCCTCCCACTGCACCCCTGCTGCCTGCCTCCCACTGCACCCCTGCAGCCTGCCTCCCACTGCACCCACTTTCAAATGTAACTGTTTGACTTAGGTGTGTCATGTGCAATCACCAGAGATTGGACTAACTCACTGTGCTCAGTCAATACTCACAACTTGAGCTAAGCTGACTCTTTAAAAGGGGCAGAAAAAGTCATGGAAGCAGTGATTAGTCTGAGGGTGCAGAGCATGAGGAGGGAGACTTTGACTTGAGTTAAGGAGGCTTTGCCTGGTCATTAAAAAAATCCAAACCTAGTGATGTATCATTTCTAATGCAATAGTCATTAGTGGAAGGAAGTAGACTTTATAAATTAAAAAAAAAAAAAAATAGCTGGCACAGTGGCTCACATCTGTAATCCTAGCACTCTAGGAGGCCAAAGTGGGAGGACTGCCTGAGCTCAGGAGTTCAGCACCAGCCTAAGTAAGAGCAAGACCTCATCTCTAAAAATAGTGTTGTGGTGGGTGCCTGTAGTCCCAGCTACTCGGGAGGCTGAGGCAAGAGAATCACTTGAGCCCAAGAGTTTGAGGTTGCTGTGAGCTATGATGTCACAGCATTCTCCTGAGGGCAACTAATGAAACTCTGTCTCAAAAATAAAGAAATAAATAAATAAAACAAAACATCCCTGGAACTTTTAACTGCCAGTCTGGTTCAGAATTGCCTAAAATTCTCAAAAATCACCTCTTTACACTGAATAATCCTACATTCCCTATTATTCAAAAATAGTCACCCAAACAACAGACTACTGGCTTAGCTGTTCTGTAATTATAAACTTTCACATCTGTACCATGTACTTTGCAGCAGATTTCTGGGAATGAACTGAACATCACTGAATTCATTTCTAAAAGAAAGACGAAAATATTTTCCTGAATTACAAGTGCTTTAGTAGCCCTGCTTTAACTCTCCAGCAACAATAGTACAAGCAATGGAGAAGAAAGATTTTCTGTTGAAAATCACTGGTCCAATGGAGGCAGAAAACTCAGTAATTATACAAGAAAAAAGTATTATATGAGTTTTTAAGAGGAAAAAAATCAATATTCCACTCTCATTTTTTTTTTTTTTTTTTGAGACGGAGCCTCAAGCTATCCCCCTGGGTAGAGTGCCATGGCATCACGCTCACAGCAACCTCCAACTCCTGGGCTCAAGAGAGTCTCCTGCCTCAGCCTCCCAAGTAGCTGTGACTACAGGCGCCCACCACAACGCCTGGCCATTTTTTGGTTGCAGCCATCATTGTTGTTTGGCGGGCCCGGGCTGGGGATTCGAACCCGCCCCCTCAAGTGTATGTGGCTGGCGCCTTAGCCGCTTGAGCCACAGGCGCCGAGCCTCCACTCTCATTTTTATTTAATCAATATTATATAGCAATTACTAACTAAAATTTACTTCTCTGTTATCTCCACTTATAGGAAGCTGGCTGGAATTGGCAGCATTAATGGTGGGCATTAAGAGAAATATAGGCTTCATCCCATTTGATGACTGAATTAAAAATAATAATTTTTTATTATTATAAAAAGAGACAGAGAACAAGAGAAACAGAAATATCTAGAGAGTGCAAGGTGCTCATTCAATAACTTATTAATCTTATGGTCTTATTGGATATTCTGGCTATAAACCATAAGACAAAGCCTTTGACAATTTTGGACATAAATACACATTTCAACAGATCAATGTATCTGTGCATATTTAAAGATTATAACAAGCTTCTACATACTGGATAATTTCTCAGTTCAACTCCATGAGGTCAATATTATTATTTATTTTGTCTTTCACTGGAGGGTGGACAAGACCAGAATGTGAGTCGGCCTGCCCCGAGCTCATCCTCCAGACATCACAGGGGACTGAACAGCATTGAGCAGCAAAAAAACAAAAGGCAAATAGTAGCCTCTCATTAGGGAAGGAGGGGAAGCTCTAAATAATACTACTATAAGACAGAAGTTTTTAACAGTATATTTAGTTTTACCCCGACTTTCAATGATAAGGACCCTCTGACCTTGCCATTTGTGTGCTAGGCACTTGAACGGAATGGCAGGAAGGTACCCTGGAGAGGAGGGAATCTAGTTAAAGATTCCCCCATGAAATTAGGAGGGCTGCAGACTGGACTGTCCTAAAACCAAGAAATGTCTCACCTGGGTTCATCAGGGTCACTAGCAATTACTTTTGAAAACATATGAGAACCTAATAAAGTACCTAAAACTTGGAACAGAAAACTATGGGGTATGTGCCTTGAGACATAAAATGAATACTGCCGGTATCTACGAAACATCAGTGTTACCTCCACTCCTGCCAGGGATGGGCAAAACAAATTAGAAAAACAAATAGGTAAAGACTAATCTAGCTTTATAAGAGTGAACTCATAAAACTTTACTAATGCACTATTCTGACCCAGAAACGAAAATTAATAAATCAGAGAGCTTTTCATGTGACCCAACTGGGCACTTTTTTTTTTTTGCAGTTTTTGTCTGGGGCTGGGTTTGAACCTGCCACCTCCGGCATATGAGACAGGTGCCCTACCCTTTTGAGCCACCAGCGCAACCCACCTGGGCACTTCTAACAGGTCACTGCTCAAAGAATATTCTATCAGTCATTTAAGGGTGGCCTCAGGGACTGCGTCATACTTTGGAGAGGTCCAGAGTTGCTGAGCCAGGCACAGGCTTCTCACTTCATTAATGCATAGATGTGAAGGAATTAAACATAGCCCAGAGAAGAAACTAGGTAGGCAGGGTGAGCAGATGGATTAAAAACTAAATTACCTCTGTGAATCACAGAGGAGAGTAGGAAAGAAGATAGGATGACAGGCTCAGCTGTGGGCAGTGAAGAATCACTGCAGTGAGCAGGGACTTGGAACGCCAGTAGGCCCACTCGGCAATCATGTGACGTGGCCTGGTGAGGCTGTGTCTGTGAAGAACCAGCCACATTTCTGGCCCTCATGACAGTAGGAACCTCTCCCTCTATTCTACAGGGTATGAGCAGCCCCCAATTTTACTCCTGGAAAAGACCTCTGAAGCAGAGCCATCACATAATCCGGTGCATTCGCTTTTTTAGATAAATTCCACCTTGCACAGAAAAGCCTTCAAGTGAATGGGTTTAAGGCAGCATCAGTGCCTTGGAGGTACTGATGAGACAGGATTGAATAAACTGTGGATGAAGTCTACAACACCCAAGAATATGTGTCTGCTTTGTCCTGTGTTGTATATGACAGGGCAAATAGAAAAAAAATAGTAATTGTCAGCAATCACTGAAAGGGTTAGAAAATAGTCCCTGGGAGGAGAGGTTAAGAAACTAAGTTATTTAGGCTGATGGGGAAAATAAACAAAACATTGACAGGATTTTACATAGAAGCACTGTGCCTCGGAAAGAGATCAGGGTTAGGGGACTGGGTCTCTAAATGTGAGACCAACTGTGGCCCTGAGGGAGCCCCCCACCCTTGCAGAGCTTTGCTTTCTATCTGCTGCCCAGAGTGGCTCTGA